CACACACACACACACACACACACACACACAAAGGCCTATATATAATATTTAAATGCATTCATGTACAGTGCCTTGGTATCTAACCTCACATTGTGAACCCCACAAGATGGGTGGTACCCCCAACAAACAGCAGTGATTGGTCAAGGTCTTTGGGTCGAGTCAGGTTAACGCGATATGAGGAGCTCACCTCCGTCCACTGGCCTTGCGCCTGCACCATTATGATGACACAGGGATCGGATTTATTCAGCGTGTCTCGGTCCAGCAGGGATTTGCAGGAGACGCGTAGCTCTACCTTGGACACACAAGCTGAGGGCACCGTGCTGAGGGCGGCTGCCGGCGAGGTCCCGGACATCAGCTCCTGGGCGTCATTCATCCCGGCTGGGGGTGCGGGAGGACCGGGCCACAGGCAAATGGAAGGTCTACTGTTTGGGTCCTGCTTGTGAGGTCCTTTTTGTTTTTAGAGCAGTGAGTCAGCCTTGATAGCGAGAGCTCCAGGACCTCCAGAGAACTTACATAGGAATAGTCCGAGGACTTAAAGAGATAAAGCGAAAATCTGGTGGCTTCTGTCAGCTTTTTCAAATCCTACGTTGTGAAGATAAGGCCCAGTATCTGCAACCTTCAACACGATGGGCCAGTCTTTTCCGGTGCAGGTCTTCTCAGATGTGTAGTCCCTCCTGAATTAGCAGAGATTCCAGATAATGCATGTGATAGATGGCCTATTTCTTTAAATCCACCCTAAAACACCCACCTTACAAAAATTCAAAATAAAGTGCAAATTAATATACATAGTCACACAAATTGTATTGCATCACTATCCTACCATTACTGTATGTTAGTGAAAACATCAACAAATGTAACACAATCAACAGCACACTAAATAAAAGAGATATTTAATATATAGTTTGTGACTGTTTTGCTGAGCCAGTTCTGATGCATAAAGACATGAAACATGTTCAGTGCAAACAGTGCAAATACCGATTGGAAATATCACTGAGCTTCAAGAATTCTCTTCATCATCTTAACACCACAGCGCAACTTATCACAGACACAGATCCCTTAGCAGCCATTTTTACTGTGTACATGAACAATTAATGGGTCATTTATCAAATGAATAAAAAGCCCTTCCTGTTGACAAAACCAATTCCTATATAATCGTATTGTTCAGCTTCTGGAACTAACCAGCCCAGGGTGTGCCGTACAGAAGAACTCACACATTCAAACTGTATCATCCGAGTCTCACTGAATGGACTTGATTAGCTCTTCTTATATGAATCATGGATTTATCTACATTTGACAGGAGAAGCCAAGTCAAATGCTGTTTTGTTTTACCACATTCTCATAAGTTAGACTAAGGTGTTGTGAGAATCCCTAGGACTGGATTTCACACTCCTTCGTTTTATTCAAACTGAATGTACATTAACAACTAGTTAGTCAACGCTAGCCGCTGTCTTTCAGAATGGTTGACGTCCATAATACTGATCGGCGTCGGTGTTAGAGCACACGTGGAACAAAGAGGGCGTGGCTCAGTATATATAACGCTATATAGACCCCCTCAAAGCAGATAGTCAGATGGAAGCGTTAATGCTGAACAATGAGTCATCGGGAAGGATTGGCATCGATTTCTTGCTCATCTGTTTCCTATGGGTATATATATTTCTACCAAATGTCCGTTTAATAGCTAGCACGCCTTTTTGAATGACTCATAATTAAAAGAGAATTTTCTTCACGATAAATAAGTCTTACATTTCCTAATTCATAGCACGTTTGTGATGAAATATGTTTTGCCATTTACTTCCTATTAAGCACAATAAATAATAAAAAAAGCACCAACACCATTACCGTATTTCCAAAAAAATACTGATATCTAGTCAAGCCTGTACTGGCGGTAGCAGCGCAGCTTGCACGAAAGTGATCTGGGTACAGAAACCCTATTGCAGTCCCCAGATTGCACATAAAACAATTCGCTTTCTGACGTTTCCGTTCATACTTATAAATTCAAAATGCAAAACTATATAACAATACGTTATCATATACATATGTAATAGTAATTTCAATAATACGTACAAGCTACAAGATTCAACAAATGTTTAAAAGTTAGAATATAATATTATAGTCAAGCTGGGAAGGTACTATATGAATTCATATTTATAACATTGACTACTTCATATTGTACCAATTTACAGCAAAACTGGAAAAATATGAAACCAAAGTTTGGTTTTGAAGCGCTCTCGTTCTGTCTTGTTCATTGCTGTTTGGGAATGACACGTAAAATTATAATAATCTCAAAATGATAGGGGACACCTTTGTGCCTTCATTATTTAAAAACAGAGCATACTGCACATGGAACATGTGCTTTTAAACATATTTCATACTGCGACGTCGTGGGAAAAACGTGTATTTGTTTATGAACGCCAGAAAAGATGTAACCCAAAAGTAGTTTTTACTCTTTCTAAATTACATCGTCAGAAAATCTGTAATAAATCATGATTTCCCAAGCATTATTCACACATAGAGAAACTACAGTAAAGGTAAACGTGAAATCTTGTTTTGTGATTTGCCACCAAAAACTAAACACCTAAAATGATGGTGGCACATTGGTACGCTAAAAATACATAGTAAAAATACACGTGTCGAATAAATGGGATATAGAACATCTTAACGAGCAAGAAAAAGCTCATAAGAGGAGAGAAACTTATGAGCTTTTAAAGCTTTTCAAGTAACTTCGCCCCGTCGTGTCTCTGAGACAATCCCGTGCGATTTTACTTATGTTTGCGAAACAGGTTGTTAAATTGATAAAGGAAAAGCTTACGGAAAATTTATACGACAGAAAAATGTACTCTGATTTACTCCGTCTTAACCTGATTATGAAAAGGCAGCACATGCTTAACATTAAATGATCATACAGAAATATTTTCCATGCCTCCGTTATTTAGCAATGGATCTTACCTGTGATGCCCCCTTCAACTTGAGCCCGTTGCTGAAGCCTTTCCCCCATCACCTCTTTAAACTCGCCGTCGGAGGGAGGTGGCGATGGAAGGGATGTGCGATGGACAATGAGAAAGCGCCGCCTTGGCAGTGCCGCTGCTGTCCGCTAGGGGGCGGCACCAAGGCTTTGCAATAAAATAATGCAATAAAACTGCAACAGGATTTAATTTGGGACAACTTTAAAACGACTGGAAACAGCATGTTTTACTATTCCATGTAACATCGTTTTTGCATTTGCCCTTCAGAATAAGGAACAATTAATTTTTATAACGTTTTACTCGCGTAGCATTAAAATATAACTCTTCTGTTCTTGGGGATGCAATGTTCACTTCAAACATGGACGGAAACAACTGCTGTCCACCTGTGTTATAACCACAGGGTGGGGTCATACCCTGGATGGGACACCGGTCCAAACACACTATCACACACTATTTAAGCAATCTGTTAGTGTAACTGTTTTGTTGGGCTCTTCCCGCTGCCTTGCTAGAGCCACTACAGCCGTGAAAAGGAAAATAAAAAGTTTGGCGCGTTCAAAGAGAATCTGCTTCAGAAGAAACTTCCTTAAATATGGGAGATTACAGCCAGTCTCTCCGATTAAACGGAATTTATAAAACGTTACTGCTGTCAAAGATGACTGATAGAATTAATGTTTAACCAAACTTAATTACGTGGTTGCAACGTCACATAGATTGGGATAGTGTAAATAAGTGCTAGAACAATAGGGCCATTTCTGACATCATCCAACACCTTTCCTGGTCTAGTTCATGGTGGCGAGAGCCTGGCGTCTATGCAAGCAGTACAGGGCACAAGGCCTGGGGGAAAATACCCTGGAGTGAATACCAGCCCATCACAGGGCACATACTGTACACTATCACACACAATGGGCATTTTAGAGACACGGATTAGCTTAACTGCTCGTCTTTGTACTGCGGGAGGACACCGGCCACGCGGAGGAGCACGAGGCCAACCCCCAACCTCAGAGGATCCACGCTGACGTCTGTACTACGTAACTATTATAATAACAATAATTCATGCTTCTTGCAGTAGCTGGGGCTGTCTTTTTGGATTATTCTTCTATTATAAATGAATATATTCAGAAAAAAATTTGGGGAAATTTTCTGCAGTTAGTAAATGAAATCAGGCATAATTTAGCATAGTTTACCCCATGGATAATAAAAATAAAACATTAATTGAAGGCATGCAGCTTGTGTAAATGTATTGTTTAAAAAACATTTATATGCTAATAATCCCCCAACACACTGGATTCGGTGTTTAATTGGAATGTTCTAGTTTAGCCTTATATGCTTTGTTGTTCTAGCTAATTCATAGAATTCAGGACTTTTTAGGGTTAACCAAGCAAACACTGGAAAAGCAAGTTTTATAATAACAAATGGCTTCTTACTGAAATGCTGACCATTTACATTTTTTCCCCTGGTAGTTTTCCACAGTAATAGTCACTGTGACCATTATTAATCTAACAAAAAATCTATTTATATAGAATACATATCTAGACTGAGTCCACACAACAGCCAAATAAAACAGAATGGTTGGGCTGTCTTGGAAGACAGTTCAGATTCAATCAGACAGATCATCCCAAACTTGTGTAACAAGCCTTTGGCACAAAAGTCTTGATGTCACAGAGTCTGGCAGCAGTAAGAGCAAGCGGCCACTACTGTAAGATAATGACACTCACAGCCCGTACAAAACCTGACACTGTTATCATGTTCTACGCAGTTTCAACAGCTAAAATGTAACAAAACTAATGTGAGAAAAGTATTTGTAGATGAGAGGTAAGTATTGAAAGGAAGACCTCAGCAGACATAAAAGGTGGAGGGAAAAGCAAAGGTAGTAATTGGGTGTCGGGATACAGAGAATAAGCAGTGTGTTTAAAGGAGGAAAAAGCCTATTAGCAATAGCCATCTCCATGGCTGCGCTTTGCATAATCAAAGAGAAAAACTAAAATAAATATAAAAACAAAAACAAGAAAAAAAAAATGCATTATTAACCACTCCGGTCTCAAAGTGCAAAATACTTCAGTTCACTTTAAATGTCTAAAAACACACCTACACAAATGGAGGAAGGCCGCATTTTCGCCAGCGCTATCTTTTTCAGGTTGCCCACAAGTTCACCTTTTTGAGAGCACGCTGGGATGCGGAATTTCATGTGGCTGAATGACTCTCCCGGTTGCCAGGCTCAATTTGTGAGTTGCTTTTTGTGTGCTGCATGAAATGCTAAAATGGGTATGTGTCCTGGGAACATCACCCCTCAGGATGGTCAATGGCATACTGGGCGGAGGGGGGGGGTTAATTACACACTACGCTCCAGAAGGTTTTATGGGTCTCTGTAGGCAATGCTACGAGTGATGCATCGAATTGCATTTGACCAAAACAGTGACACAACTGTCTTAGCCTGAATTTACCCATGTAATTTTCTCCTTTATGGCCCCAATGAGTTGAGGAACCCACAAATCTATACATGCAGGATTAGGAAACTATGTTTTGAGAGTGGAGAATGAGTTTTGCCTGCTTATCAAGAGTCAAAGCTACCTGCTCTGACATAGGTCTAGCCACTCGTCTAGGGAATGTACTCAGCGATGATGCTGATTTTAGCAGGCTGTGTTACTACTGAAGAGGCGTTGGGGAAAGACAAGACATGGCATTAATGCAAATGAGCAGCACCGGAGGGTTTGGTTAATCATAGCTGAGCTCAAAGAGAGCCTAGCAGGAGCCGGAGTTAAAACAACAACTGCTGAAATGTGGAACTACGCCTTGATCCACTCAGCTCATCCGCTACTGTGCTAACAGGAATTTTATGTTTTTTTTCTCTCCCGGGAAACCATCTTTGTGCTGACTTATTAATCTCGAACAGCTTTAGCTCGGTCCCTTGTACAAAATACACTTCACACCTCAACAGATGCAAACTCCAAAACAAATCCGCAGCGTTGAAGTTATTCGATAATTTATTACTCCCTGCTCTCCAGGCTTACAGTCGTGGAAAAAATTAAGGGACCCCTCCATATTTTTAAACAAATCTGCATTTTTTAAATCTTGGTTTAATCCTGAGCAGCAGGTTGCTTCCAGGTTCAAAATTTCTAAAACAGCAGTACACAAGAACAAGGTGAAGCAGGAGACACTGGGAACGACCAGAAACCAGCCAGGCAGAAGGCGGAAGCAACGTTCTAATGCCAGAGATGGACCGTCAGCTTATCCAACAGTTGAATCAGAGAATGAAATCAAGTGACCTTGATATATTAAGTGCAGATATGAAGTGGACAGTTTGTATTAGGCTCCTAGAAGCAGGACTTGAAGTCCCATAAAGCAAGGAAGAAGCCCTTCATTAATTAGAAACAGAGAAGAACCAGGCTGCAGTTTATTGCATCAGTACTGATCATTTTCTCTCTTCCTTTTGCCTGATTTTGATTTGTTTTTCTGGGATAGTGAGAATCGAATTATTCCACCAGGAAACGCTGACAGCTGATGACGGATCCATTCTGGAGTCATTGATAAGATCGACCTGAGGATTTTCATATTGCAAGGCATAGCCACACAGCTCAAGGTTTTCAAGTTACTAACAAATGCCGCACAACCAATATGAGCTCCAACTGAGGTACAATGTACTGAACAGGGAATGTAGTAAATGCTGCCTCCATGAGCTGTGAGACTGTCCACTGATATGGAGAGTGACAGTACCCAGACTCCATGGCATGCTGTCTGTTTTAGGGGAAAAGCACACGTCCCACAGCCTCTCGTATGAGAACCCTTTGAAGATGATGCTACATGGTAACTACATTTAGAGGATGGGAGTGATTGACTGAGAGCCAGCCAGTGCAGTGACACTTGGATGACATAACTGCTGGATAATCTATCTAAAAAAGCTGGGAATGCAGCGATTCAGTGTCACTTCTCTCTCCAACTTTGACTCTCAAGGGTGTGCGTGCTTTACTTCAGATCTCTAAAGTGCCACCTGACCATCTCCACCGAAAATGATTCATTTCTTGGCACATTTCGCAACACCCTGACATTTTCCCAGGAAGCCCGAGGGCTCTGACGTTACCATGGCAATCAGAGAAAGTCAAGGATGCCACTCAACCAGCGAGACCAGCGAGCTCTACAGCATCTGACTCAAAATCCACACTCACTCCAACTTTCAGAATGAAGTTCAAACACGGCTCATTCTGTTCCTCGGTGCTCTTCAGCGGCACAGGCAGGCTAACGGCGGCTGCCAACCACTCAATCATCTCAGGTTAATCAGCCTCTATTTACGCGGCACAGGACAGCACAGGGCAGCACAGGACAGCACAGGACAGCACAGGGCAGCACAGGACAGCACAGGGCAGCACAGGGCAGCACAGGGCAGCACAGGACAGCACAGGACAGGTGCAGTGATCATCATAGTTATTATGCAGCTGCAAAATAAAAGAAATTAACAACATTTAAAAAGCAAGCAGCCATTTTGTGATTTATATACTATGCAACACACAAAACTAAAATGACCAAAAAATCAACGAAGAGAAACAACTTAAGATTAATGAAGCAGATATCCTCTCAATGTAAAGGCTGCTGTTGTTAAACCATCTGAATAACCATCTGTTTTTTGTACCCTTGATCTATTCAGGGTTATGGGCAATCCAAGCCTATCCTGGAAGTGCAGGCGGTAGGTTGGGATTAATCCATAATGGGGCACCAACCCATTGCTGGGCGCACACACCATTCACACCTACAGACAATTTGGTAACTCCAGTTCGCCTTAGCATGTTTTTGGGCTGGGAGGGGGACACTGGAGTACCTGGAGGAAACCCCATAGCAACATGGGGAGACCATGTCAACTCCACACACCTAGAGCCATGGCGGAGATTTGAACCCCAGTCCCAGAGGGGCATGCCCGCTGCTCCACCCCACCAGCGAGTACGATGACCATTATTATTAGCCATGCATTCTTCAAACACTGTCTTGACTCTTGCAAGCAGACTGAAACTTTTCTTTATTTATGCTGTATGGTCCACATTTTTGCTGTCAGTTGGGAGGGAGCAAAAACATGATCCCCAAGGACTGGGTTGAGAAACGCTGATCCACGGCTAGTATGCTGTTTTGACCCATGTGATGTGTAATGTTCCTTCAAAACTGGAAAACAGCAAGCAGGTGATAACATTACGGTGCACAGCCTTACCATTGTAACTGAAAGTTCAGTCCTGCTCTTTAAGTCAGATTGAGAACTTCTTTGGCCCCAACTCTTCAACTATCGCATTTCGCTGAACATTCAAACCAATTCAGACAATCACCATAAAAATATAACATAATGTAATTTTCCTGGCAATAACCCATCAGATATCGAAGAAACCTTTGATAATTTACTTTGAGACCCCAACAGGGAGACTAAGTGATACTTTCCATCAGACTGAAATATTATCTTACAGTTTCAATAGCGGCCTCTTGAAAGGGGCAGATTCCTTTGTATAGCAAATTACTTTATACAGAGTTTTTATGGCTGCATTTCCTGGGATATGAATCTCTGAGAATATTTTTATCGGTTTAGCTTTTTAGCAATCATCTAAATATTCACAAATACATGCAGAAGCTCTTCATGTTAAACTTCCGTAGAATTATGGCAGCATTTGATTCCTGAGATTAATATATTATTCCTCTGCGTCAGTAGCAGCTGTATGCCAGTTCCTGAAGTCCAGAATATTCAGCTCAAGCCTGAAGCTCCATCTGAATAAATTAGTAAAATCTGAAAAACAGATATTACTGAATGAGTATCGAGGCACCTTTACCTCCTTAGGAGTCAAGTCGCGAGCGAGATAAACTGTAATTTTGTACCTGATGGAATCACCTCACCCAGGATCATACTGATCACTATATGCAGGACTAGGCCCAATTCAGCAAGTCCTTCACTGAAGACTCTCATCTTTTAGAAAATAGGGGTCACCAGCTACATTAGTTAATTGGGCCATTACTCTGATTTTCACTAACCACATTTTAGGAAAGAGGATAATCAAGGCAGCTTTCACGAACATGTTTACATAGTTCTTTGGAAACTCCAAACTTTGTTAGTGTTTTCAGATGTTAGCTATTTTATTATGTAAAACACCAGCCCACACCCCAGTCTCAAATGTACTTCATAATAACATTTTGTACTGTATCTGATTGTGCACAGGGTTTACTAAGGTTCATGGGGGTGCATAGCACCCTCAGCTTAATAACATGTCCCCTCAGGTGGAAGGCAAACAGCGCATGACTGTGACATACCTGTGGGGATCATACCCCCTCACTAATTTCAGATGCACATACTGATTTTGTTCTGGATACGGCACTGATTGTGTGGTACAACAAGTCTGAGAAAGGTGTAATTTTAGTCCATTTTCTGTTTTAGGAGATAAACCAAACATAGTGGTTCTTTGTCAGTGTTTTTGGAAGCGGGTATTCAAAACCATGCAATTACAACTGACGCCGTGTTAATTCCAGTAATGCCATTGTCACAATTCACTAATTAAGCATTTAAAATCCACTTAAAATTATCTTCAGCCCTCTGGTCGGGAAATCTATGCAGCCCCCCCCCCCCCATCAGCAGAGCGCACCAAGACAAGATGGACTTATCATTTCTGGCTACAGGCCTGAAATGGATTCGGTCTTTTCAGGCACTCAGATATATTTTCATTATGTTGCGATTGGGGCTCGAACACTCGTGACCCAAAAACCTTCCATAGCATCTGTCTGCAGTCTTTATGGAGCTCTAGCCCCTCCCCCCTCAACATGGTGCATGCACCCATGCAGTTAACTCATGTCCCTTTATCCATTTTACATACATAAACCATGAAGAGTTTCTGCACAAGACAGTGAAGGAAGGTTTGGGATCAGATCACTGGGTCAGTGTTCAGGCCCCTGCAGTAGTTATGTGGTCTTACTTGGTTTATGCATCTTTGGTTCCAGAACCAATTTTAAATGTGTTCAGCAGAATGCAAACCATTATTACAGGATACACTGGAGATGTATGTCTGTTGTTTTGTGTTTGACAAATCATTTCATTCTAAATTGAAAGTATTTTAGGTGGTGGTTATTGTAATCATTTGTTTACTTTTCAATTTACAGTTTTTGAATCCAGATTCATGGAAAATTGATCTTGTGTTTTCTGGACTGGGCTACCCTGCACTGGAAGTGGACTGAGCCTCGTCAATCCTGTCCTGATTCCCATCCCAGCTGTCCTTGGTATAATCTTTTCAGTCTCCTCTCATTTTCTTTGTAACAAGACTGGCACCCTTTGCAGTCTACACCACTGCCTCGTACAGCAGGCTGCCTGCGTTACGTTCCAGAGCTCCTACGACCGTGAACAGGGTAAGCAGTTGATAAATAGACTAAACGACTGGCCCTAAAACTGTGCCATGAAATCTATAAAAATACTATTTTTCCATTAAATGTCATCTTCTGCAGTAGCAAAGCCACTTTATTTCCTAAGACCCTGCACTTTAATGTTGAATTGAATTAAGAACCAGATTACCAGTGTCGTTGATGTAATTGTGGGAAATGATTGATGGTTTATGTACATTTACATTATTGGTTGCTACACCCAGTAGCCCTCCCCTGTTTTCAGTAAATCAGGCGTTTCGGCCAACAATTTATCAACATGTGTGCAAAAATAACACATAGTCCAGTACAGGCATCAGTACATTAATTTGCGCGTCTCTCAACAATTAAAAACAGCGCCGGTACTGTATTTAGGCCTATGGTACTTAAAAATGGCAGACTTGTTATCAGCAGCGATCATTGTCCATATCATTCATCACCTTGCATCTACCCCAGATTACCTTACCAGGTACTTATCCGGCTAAATAAGAAATCCTGCTTTGTGATGGTGGCCCCTGTTTCATCCCACCTCATGCAATGTATTTACGATTTAGTAATAAAGATTGCTCTTTTTAAAAAGAAAATGTATATACAAGCCCTTAACGGCTAATCCTTATAGCAGCAGTCACAAAAGATATATGACCTTCCATGAAGCCTGACAAATCCAGTGCTCCGCTGATGGGTGAAATAATTACACGAATCTTTAAAAACGGACTATACTGCGTAGTGTGGAGGAGTGTGGCGCGCCATTGATTAGTACCGTCAGGAAGTGCATTTTATAATTAGCGACCATATAGGCGGCACTTTTCCGTGTCAGGATAATCGCTTTGATGGTGTTATTGTTGTAATCCTTTGCTAAACTGTATTGCTAGGGCACACACCCAATATTAAAAACCGTTTTATATATTTATTTTATACAGCTGCGATGATTCATTTGCATTACCACGACAATGAGTGCTGAGATTAAATGGACACCTTCCATAGGAGGTGCATGGTCTGCAAAGTCTGCAACACATGTGCATAACCAATTGTAATTTAATTGAAGTCTCGTACAGATGTTTGCAATGGCGTATGTAATACGTAGACCTATATGTCTAGTTTCATTGCTGTTGTGTGTGCACTGCTTTTGTATTGTATTATATCGGCCTGTGTTAAAAACATACTTGAGTGTGACAAAGGCACTAAAATTATTTATTGCTTAATAAATAATTTTTGAAAGTTGAAATTGAAGAATCGTTGTAAATATTTTTCCTTTATTATACGAAGTACTTACATTTTAGAGGTTAGACGTCGTCGGGATTTTTAGTTTCTGTACCTCCAATATTCACTGCTCGCGTTCACATATTACCAACACAAGTTAACTTTTCACTAAGAAAATGTATGTCTTCCCAAAACAATGAGCATTTCCGACCACAAGGTGGCAGTAAATATCAATAAACCGTTTTTATCGTGAGCAAGGGACTATACAGTTAGCAAAATCCACCCGCACTCGCGGACGAAAGAAAGGCACGGCACGTTCCAGTATAGGTTTTGCAGAATGTTTTTTTTCGGCTTAATGTATAACAACGGAGGTAATGTACAAAGAAGTAGATGGACATCAACCAAAAATCTAGTTTCTGTTGTTCTCCAGGTGTATGGAATTTTATAAATCACTAAACGATTTGAATGCGTTTTAACTAAACATCACAAACACCATAACAACTGAATTCGCCAGAGCCCATCGTAAAAAGAATCCTTTACACAATTTCAAGTCAGGCAAAGTCGTAATTGGTGTTAAGTTCTTACTATAACTGTAGTACAGCACCTAGTATAGTGATGGTTAAGTATTTCCTTATACTACATACAGTGCAAGACACAAACTAAATCAATTAAAATTACGTCAAACATCCAACATGCACGTATGTAACGAATGCTACATATTACTATAAATAGATTTATCTTCTAAGGTCTGACTGCACAAACCTAGAAGCTGACAGTTTCTGTGATCTTGCCTGCCGAAGAGAAACCCGAAGGAAGAAAAACCCTACAGGTATATGTGTCAGGTGGTGCCTTTTTCAAATTCAGTGAGATGCTGTGTCACAGTATTTTTTTTAACCTTTACTTTCTTTAACAAACAAAAACCTGAGACCATATGGAGACTATAAGAGGCACAGTGACTCAGTGGGCAGCACAAATGGCATCGCTAGGGTGCCCACAGTGTACAATTGTGTCTGCATGTGTCAAGGTTACTGTTAACCAGAACTGTAGACATTCTCACCCGTCAGGTTTGCAAGGGTATGAAAATAGTTCTGAGGAAGACAGTACTTGAAACCACGCCATCCTAGCTACCTTCCATGATAAGGCTAGTTGTAGGCTGCTTTCCCCAGTTGATCCTGTCCAAACAAACACAACATGATGCACTTTGAAATAAAGACAGTTATGACTTCTGGAATTTTATTATCCCAGCCATTACAGTCTAACATGCCAGAATACGGCTTTCTCCAGCTCCAGCAGAACCTCTGAACAGATTGGAAATGTCTCAGTCTTCTTCTCTTTGAGAAAGACCCAAGGAAAATTTGGGGGCTTCCAGTTTCCATCCCACATAACTTCCTACGAACTATTTTTGACACTTGTTAAACCTCTAAGGCTTTACAATTTCTGTTCTCTGAAACTAATCCACAAAAATTAAAAAAAAAATAAAAATAAATGGCATACGTGGCAACCCAGCTACAAAAACCCCAGAATTCATTTTGCTGGAGCTTTCTACAAAGGAGGTTCCCATCGCTGACGTGATAAGAGGTTAAAATAGGGTAAGGATTAGTGCAAGACTTTCAGGCATCGTTATTGTTAGAAATGCAGCAGACTCCAGCGGTGCTCCTAGTTTTCAATTGATTTTATATATCTCTCATAGGCTGCCTCATCCATTAGGGCATCTAACTCCGATGGCTTGTCAATAGTCATCTTGATCAGCCAGCCTACAAAAAAAAATCAGAACACAAAAATCCATGCTGGTGATATTTCACAAAATAGGGTCATGTTGGCACAGGTGTCCATTAATGAACATTAGGGCTGAACAATATCAATTTCAAACTGAGATCGCGATTTGGAAAAACACAACAGGCAAATCACAAAGGCTGCAATTTGTAATGTGTAATATATGGCTCGTCCAGGGTTTAAAACTCAAAGTAGTTTAACAAATTTGTGCCGTCCTCCTCGTGTGACACTGATTCTCACCATGCTCCTCGCGTGCCTGTCACGCCCACCAAACAGACGTGACCCAAGGTGACTGCATATACGCCCACAAATAGCTAACGTGTGAAATGTCGACTCTGCTGCTGAGCTACCACTGAATTACCTGCCTACTTCATGGTCAGCGATGGTTTACAGAAATGTCCCATTATCAGGGGTCCAAGCAGTGTTAGGTACAGGATCCATATTGTTTTTTTTCTTACTGAAATTGTTTTATTTATATTATTATTAATTTATTTGGCTTAACACAGTAATTTTGTGATAAATTAGAACAATTCAACATAAATCAGTTAACTAATTTAAATTACTAATTTAACCCTTATGTACATGGGACTTTCAGGAAACGCTGTTTGCAAAAAATGTGCATGTAAAAATACAGTCACTTTACCATGTTCGGGTCGCTAGTGACCCGGCACTTTTTTGGCAAATAAATGACAGTGCCCACACCAAATAATATGACCATCACTATTATATGACACTGTAAAAGGTTCAGCTTGTTTAGAAACTCTTCTTAGTGTTCAGGAATGAGGTATTCAATAAAAGTTTGCAGTTCCTTGTGGCTTGATTGAATATGTATATGCCAGGTCACTAAACCCAAAGAGGTATGTACACAAGTGTTTAAAAAAGTAATAAATACATGTTTTAAGCAATTCATACCTTTAAGTTTCATCCTTGCATTAGAATATAGACCAGTTAAAATCAAAATATTATCTCATGTGGTAATTCTGGGTCATATGTTTTAAACCTAATTCACATAGTGTTGAACTGATGCTTGACTTAAAAAAAAATATCGCAAATCAAATTGCAATCCCAATATCTGTTAGAAAAATTGAGATTAGATAATTTCCCCAAATCATTCAGCCCTAATGAAGATTATTCATTTTCTCATTTGTTTTTCTCTGAGAATTTTGGGTGTCGCTTAACCTTTAAATTCTTCCATCTTTAACACCCTGTGAAAGATGCTTAAGAATTAGCTCACCGTCCTTATAGCAGGATTTGTTGACAAGGCCCGGTTTGTCTGCCAGGTCCTGGTTGATTTCAGTCACTTCCCCCGTAAGGGGAGAGTACAATTCACTTGCAGCCTTTACGCTTTCTAGGGCCCCAAACTCATCTGAAATACGGGACACACAAAAAGGGAATGCAATTGGTGAAACAGCGCAAGGTGCATGGAAATGTTCTAAATGAACAACTCACCCATTTGATTAAGTTTTGTCCCAGGTTCTGGAAGCCCACAGTACACTACATCTCCTAGTGCCTCCTGGAATGCAGTACAATAATTAGTATTAAAATGGAACAGGCCTACACCTCTACTCAAAATTACACTGATTATATAGTCCAGCAAAAAATGTCTTATGGAAAAGGATGCAAAAAAACATTGAATTAGTGGCAGTTCTGTAAGTGAAAACATTTTCTTAAAAGGGACAAGTCAGAAGAGAATGGCCAGACTCGTTAAAGCCTCACAGGTGCAGAAATAACAGCTCAGCACAACTGTGGTGTGCAGAAAGACATCTCTTTGGTCCTGTTCACACCTGGTAGTAACATGCGTCCTAGATGATCCGATCGCAAGCGGACAGCGCTAAATACGGGTGTGAACTCGGATTGAAAACGCATCGAGACCCGAGCGCTCAAACCACATACGGAGATGGTCTGGGATGCATTCGGCCACATTCTGATAGCAGCGTGAACGCGAACGTGTCTCGGGCCGCATAGAAGGACCGCCTACTCGGCCAAAAAAAATTGTGTACGAAGTGATTTATTAAAGATGTTTTGAAGTTTGCATAGATCACAGATTTAATGCACACTTTGATCAAGCTTCCTTATTTAGGTCAAAGCTGCTCCATGCTTCATTAATATTGGTGACGGTAAGAATTACATGAAATGCAAAATTAAAGCGTGTAAGTAAGGATGCGCATTCAACAGGCCAGATAATGGATGCGTTAATAGAAACATATAATAATGTAATCGTTTATATAGTTTTATATTGGGCTGTCCGGGGGCTTGAACTCCGGGCCAAAAATTCAGTCCCACTCTGACCCGGACTATTTTGCTTCTTTTACTTAACTTGTTCCGAGTCAGACGTAACTCAGCGTAACCTCCTGAGACCCCACCCATTCATTTACGTTCATTGTAGTGGACATTTTCTTTTTGCATTTATCTTTTCACTGATGTAAGGAAAGTATTTATTCCTGTTGTACACTAAAGAGGACATGCTGTGAAATTAAAAATAAAAATACATTTGAAGAAATCTAAATTGTAAGATGTCATTTCCTCCAAAGACAAATAACTTAAAATTGAAGGACATTTTTTTTCCTTGGGTCTCAGGAGGATATCAGGCAAAACAATGAACCTCTTCGTTGAAATTTTCGATATATTATCATTTGGCAACCAACATGATGCACTACAGACTGAACCCTTTGCCCTTGAATAGAAAAGTATTAACCTAAGTACTGCAAGACCTTTTTAACACGTACATTTGTATTGTGTTGACGTGGTATAAAAATTCATGACTACAATGTGAAAAGTTGGACTTGATTGTGAAATATAGTTTGAATTAAGAAATCACGTTTGCATTATGTGAAATTATATTTTATAACAACGGAAAATCGCAGCTTTATTATGAAACACAATTTTGAGATTATGCATAGTATTTAGCGCTGTCACTTAATTAAATTAATTAATTAATTAATTGATACTTTATTGATCCCCGTGGGGAAATTGTTTTTATGCCTCCCTCAACTTGCTCTTTGTAGAGCAAGCTGTCCGCGAAGGGCAGCCACCCGTAGCGGCGCCCAGGGAGCTGGGGATTGAGGGTCTTGCTCAAGGACCTGCAGATGTGCTGAGGCTGGGCTTGAACCGGCGACCTTGTGATTACATTGTGTTAATACCAGGTGTGAACAGGGCTTTTCTGCAAACTTTTCTACTCTTTCACTCTTGGAAGTAGTTCTGTTGGCAATATTTTGCTTGGCAGAAGTAGCTCTCACTATAAGAACATAAGAACTATACAAACGAGAGGAGGCCATTTGGCCCATCGAGCTCGCTTGGGGAGAACTTAACTAATAGCTCAGAGTTGTTAAAATCTTATCTAGCTCTGATTTAAAGGAACCCAAGGATTCAGCTTGCACTACGTTATCAGGAAGACTATTCCATACTCTGACTACACGCTGTGTAAAGATATGCTTCCTTAAATCCAGTTTGAAATGTTCTCCCGCTAATTTCCACCTATGGCCACAAGTTCTTGTATTTGAACTAATGCTGAAGTAACTATTTGGTTGAACAGCATCCAAACCTGTTAGAATCTTATAGACCTGGATCATGTACCCCCTCAGTCTCCTTTGCTTGAGGCTGAACAGATTTAGCTCAAATAACCTTTCCTCGTATGACATTCCTCTAAGACCAGGAATCATTCTTGTGGCTCTACGCTGCACCTTTTCTAAGGCGGCAAATAAGACTAGAGAGCTTTGAACTAGGTGTTACCATCGTGAATGGTGAGCAGATCTGTTGTGAGTGTATAGTGTGGCCCAGTGAGCTTTAAATAGACATTTAATCAGCTCACTCAGTAGAGGCAGTGGGGAGACAGGGATTCTATGCGTCTGGAGACAACCTGACCAGGGAGGTGAATCCAATTGGCACTTTTCCACTGACATACAGGAACCTGACCCGTACCGCAAAGAGACTAGGTACAGCATGGTTCCAGCCCTCTTTGGGTCGGCGGGCTACAGGCATTGCTGGGTTTGGAGAGCAACAGTGACATAAAACCAAAAAGATGCTTATTTACTGTTCACACAGAGTACATCATGATTTACTTATCTGCTAATTTCCGCTAGCATGTTTTTGAAAGGTTCCATGTCATGTTAGTATCAAACTCTAGCAGAATTAGCTTCCGCTTGAGTAAATTCTGTTCGTTCTATAATACTTCTTTAAACAGAAGGTTGGAAATTTTCATGTTCCGAGTTATCGGGAATGCAGCAATAAATCGGAATTTAAAATACTACTAATAATGAATGACATATAGAATATGCCCATTTTTCTTCAGATAATCCATGCATATTGACACAGATCACCAGTGTCACCCTGTATTTCGACCAACCAGCTCGGCTCGGTCACGCTTTCGACGCTGCTGGTGCGCAGGGCCGTGGCGCGGCTCGGGTACGACTCACATAATTTACAATGGAAAACCGTCTCTTCACAGTACTGCTCGGGCACAGCATGATTCTAGGTGGCAGTGAAAAAGCGCCAAAAATCCCAGTGACAGGATGGCCTACGAGATGGGAAGAAGGCCCAGGTGCTAAAGAGTTGAACAAACAAGGTGTGCAATGTGAAGAGCAAGCAGGGTATATATGGACATGCACAAACATGAACACATACACCAAAGTACATGTGTAGAGTCATGCATGTCCCTGTGATTATGTTACAGTCTATGTAAACCAGACTGGGTAATATCGGAGCTGTACATAAAAAGACTTTCTGATTCTTCTCAGCTCCTCCCAGCTCTGATCGTTAGCCTGATCACAGACGGCCCTGGCTGTCTTCTATGTACTCTGAAGCAGAGAGAGGCTTGTGGTTTGACTGGTTTTCTCACAAGGAACATCAAGTGCCTTACATTAAAGGAGGTCAACTGCACACTGCATATTTGAAAGTGAAACCACTATTTTGGCTAATCAATGATGAATGTGCTTGACCAATTATAAACAGCGGGCTGAGTCAATCTTGAGAGTAGAACTGCCGATGCAAAAATGTACAACCCATCAGACGTCACCCAGGTGGTCGTTATGTAGAACAAACTTGTCATTCATTTTCAAATGTTGTTCTCACATCCTTGAGTCTGAGAACAGATTTGGGTCAATCTAATTGTACCATAAACACCATCAGCAATTAAAGAAACACAATACCTACCTGAGCAAAATTGCTGATGCCAACTATCCCAATTCTATCCTCTACTCGTACCCACTCATGTTTGTCTGTGAACTTCAGGTCTGCAGAAGAAAATGCAAACAGGAGGCCTATATGAAATGGTGAGTTCACTACAGATGTGGCTAAACCTCCTTTTCTTTGAGCAATTAGAGTGTTTTTCAAAGCAACAGGCATAAACAAATCAGGAAATAACTCAAACGACACGTTTAAAAAAGCAGTCATGGAAAAAATACTCCTGACTGCAGCGGAGATGTTACACGAGGACTAAAGCAGAAAAACTAAGACTATTGTTCCTGAAGGTGTCACTCTTCCTCTGAAACCTGCTTATCAATAACTTTTTTAAGAGGACAATTATTCATAGCACAACACAGTATACTTAAGTGTTTCCTTTCCATTACAGACAAGTGTTATTCACATTCTAAATGAACAATTTTCTGACAAACTATGGCAGTGTTACTATGAATGTGACTATTCCAAAAACCTACTAGGTCATTCCCAATATGGTCATAAGCTAAATCAGGGGTGTCAAACTCCAGTCCTGGGGGGCCGGAGCCCTGTGTAGCTTAGTTCTTTCCTATTCTACCACAAATGATTGTAATTAGCACACGGAGTTGAATCAGGTGTGTTAAACGAGGGTAACCCCCCCCCAGGGCTGGAGTTTGACACCCCTGGGCTAAATCATGTAATTCAAGATTGTGCTTTGTAGTTGTCAGTGTTAACTGACAACTGTTAACATGCTAATCAAAATGTCTAAGCAAATTCTTGTAATATCACTAAACTCCCATATGATTCTTTAAGCACAATACAGGCAATGCCTAATATCCCAAGGCGTAACTTAAATGCATCAATTCTCTATCAAGCCACAAACCACGCAAAATACAGGACTGAACCAGATAGTAAGCTGGGCTGATGGAGGCAAGATATTATATATATATATATATATATATATATATATATATATATATATATATATATATATATATATATATATATATATATATATACATACACTGAAAGTATTTAGGGAACATGCTGCAAAAAACCAATGAAAACCACATCGAATGAAAACCAAGATCTTAATCAAGGGGCAAATAAACAGCTGAATATAGATAGCCCATATAGTCGCACACATTTAGGTGCAAGTGATATGGTAAACTACAGTACTTCAACTGTTAGACAATTCATGCCAATTTTTTGCTAAGATGCACACATCTTTACAATTCTCTTTCTCTTTTAAGCAAACAAGAGGATCCGGCAGATCTGATCTATAAAACTAGTAAGCAAATCACACTTGTTCAGTCGAATTATACAGTAATGACAGTGACACAGTTACCTAATAAATCGGTGGAATTTAAAGTAAAACATATACGAAATGACATATAGAATAAATACATGCAGAAATGCTTTATTATAGTCATTAACAGACTGTTTCACTACAGGTGTCCTTGAGGCTAACATCAAGCTATATGACAGCTTCATAGTTAACTTTCGAGCATGCCCACAATTTGTTAAATAATTCAGTTAGCTTCTTTTAACTTTTGAGAGGAAGAAAACAAAATACAGTGGGCAACAGTGCACAGGTATTTTTTATTTTTTTTTAAAAGCTAGCTCGTTTGATAAGCCAAATGGTACAACCACTCACCTGCAGCCAGGCGAGAGGCTGTGCTCAGTGTTCGGGGATGAAGATGGGTCTTGGGCAACAGCCTGGATGAAGGCGTTGCTATAGTTCTGGAGACCAAGGGCAATACTGAAGGGAAACTTTGTAGTACGCAGCGCAGCCCAACGCACGCCGCCATCTTGGCTCGTTCTGGATTGGAATGTGGGGCGCGCTCATGTGAACGCACAGGGCGCGCACGTCAATATGAGCGTCGCAGCACGCTGTAAATCACGCTTCGAAAGTCATTCATTCATCAGTTTACTAGGAATAAACGGGCCTAAGTCCATGTACATATCGCCAGCACGATATAGTATATTTTACATATTCAGAGTATATTTATGTCTTAAGGTGAATTCTAAGATAACAACACGGAAATTAATAGTTCGATTTTTTTTGTTTTGTTGTTTTGTTTTGTGAGGTTAAACCGTTAGCAGCAGTGGGCAACTGAAAACTTCATCCCCATCGCATTTACCGGCCCAAAAAGGCGACACCAAGTGGAGGTGGAAGGGCAATATTTCTCTCATTAAACATGACAGTCCGCCTAATTCATCTTCCCCTAAACGGGTTGCCTTGGTCTGTACTCTTCTAGGACCGCATTGTTTTAACATGAAGTTGATCCAAGACAACGGAATCGTTACGATCATATACGAGTCGCTGCTGGTCTGGTGTCTATGTGCCATCCAGACTGACGAGAATGAGGTCTGATCCGCACATACCAAAAATGACGATCAATTAATCCATGTAGGGGAACTGCAGTGCCTGATACGGTTTAATGACAAGTTTGAATAGTATTGCAGTTTGAAGAATGTGATGTTTTAATGCCATTGAATGCACTTTGTAAACCACAATTAATTTGTAATAAATCCTCAGATTCATAGATGGATATACTTTATTTGTCCCCATTTGGAAATTGTTTGCAGCATAATTGTAAGGCATTTCACCATAGCAGCCCAAACTCACCGATAAGAAATACAAATACCCATACACATTACAGCATTAGAGGCACCAAACACACAGGCATACTCATACACATACCCATACAATTTACAGCATTAGAGGCACCAACAGGCATACTCATACACAGACCCATCCTCCTGCCTACATTGAGCTCCTCCTGAGTGCCTCACCCTATCACTAAGGCTGAGCCCAGCCACCCTATGGAGGAAATTTATTTCGGCCGCTTGTATGTGCGATGTCATTCTTTCTGTAACTACCCAGAGCTCATGACCGTAAGTGAGGGTAGGAATGTAGATTGACTAGCAAATCTGTTGTATTCTGTACATTCGCCAATAGGTGGCGACAGAGGGCAAGGCTTGCTCTCTGTGTATGCTTCGCCAGTAGAAGAAAAAAAGAGAGAATACAGAGACTAAAAAATACCATGCTGCCGTGCTGTGTGTGATTTCGTTTACTCTTTACCCTGCTTTTACCTCTCCAGTCAGTCACCACGCAACATAACAAAATCGAGAGCTTTGCCTTCCAGCTCAGCTCCCTCTTCGCCACAACAGAATGGTACAATGTCCACATTACTGCTGACGCTAAACCAATCCATCCGTTTATCTCCCTGTTCCCTTCTTCCCTCTCTCATAAGCAAGACCCTGAGGTACTTAAATTTCTCCGCTTGGGGCAGCAACTCATCCCTCACCCATAGCAGACAATCCACTTTCTTTTCCATTCGAGAACCATAGCCTCAGATTTGGAGATGCTCATCCTTATCCCGGCCTCCTCACACTCAGCTGTAAACTGCCCCAATGCATGCTGCAGGTCAACAGGACCACGTCATCCACAAAAAGCTAAGATGAGATCCTAAAGCCCTTGAACCAGACCTTCTCTGGCTATGCCTAGAAATTCTGTCCATAAAAATTTTGAACAGAATCGGTGACAAAAGGCAGCCCTGAATCCAGCATCCACCGGGATCAAGTCCGAATTACTGCTGGCAATACAAACCAAGCTTTTGCTCCATTTGTACAGGGCCCTATATACACATATATATATATATATATATACATACACATATATATATATATACATACACACATATATATATATATATATATATATACATACACATATATATATATATATATATATACATACACATATATATATATATATATA